TGCTGGTTTCTGCTCCTCCCCAGTCTTCTCCATCAGCTTCTCCTTTCATCTGGTTAGCTGAGCTGCTGGTTTCTGCTCCTCCCCAGTCTTCTCCATCAGCTTCTCCTTTCATCTGGTCAGCTGAGCTGCTGTTTGGAACATCTCTGTGGTCCATTTGGTGCTGATGAAGCTGAGAGAACAGAGGCTTCTCTTCATCATCCTCACTCTTCACAGTAACTGCAGTGAATGAGAACTCTGTAGCATCAGTCTCCTCCTTCACACTGAGCTGCTCTCCCTCCAATCTGGTCCAGAGTTCCTCCTGTTCCTTCTTTATGTGGAGGGGCTGTGGGTCCTGCTGGTCCATATTGGGCCTTCCTCCCTCAGGAGCATGGACTCTAATCAGCAGAGTCTGCTGAACATCTGCGGGGAACACTGAAACACAGACAATATGGAGAAATACAACTTTATATTCACTCATACATCACTTGTGTTGCTTCATGTTCTGTGGATCTGGGACCTCGTGTATCAATGGTGCGGACGTACAAAAACCTTGCGTAYGCCATTTTCCACGCAAAGCTCCAGATGTATCAAAACTCAACTGAACGTGGAAATGTGCGCAGCCCCACGCCAACACCAGGGCTGCGTACGCACATTTCTGTGGTTTTGGTTCCATTGGCGACACTTAGAGGTGATTCTGAGAAACTGTTCATGATGTGAAAATGATTATTGTTCACACCAGACACACAAGATTAACAATTATTACATCCAWCTGGACGCAGTTAGATAAAGGACGCGCAAAGTTGTGCCAAAAATACATTTAACAGGAACGGATTCAGCCTTACTGGAGGATATAATAAATAGTGTAACATGCAGAGCTTTTATTTATAAACAGAATTTTGTGATCCACAATGACGAGTGGTTCATCAGTCGTTTTCAGGAATAATCCTTTTTCAGTTTGGCACTGCTGCTCTCTGGAGCGCGACACAGCGAGGAGCCGTGCGCCACACAGAAACAGTGATCAAAGTGGGGTTCCACAGGAGCTTTACAGAGGGAGCTGGCAGACCCATCGGGACTGTGCCAGTCCAGTCCACCCAAAGCYGAGTCATGCCCAATGGAATCGTTTCATCCAAATGATTCTAAAGGCAGAGTTATGGTCGCGCTGTGGAGCGCGCACCGTCGCCAGCAGTGGAGATGTTTCATACTTGGCGTTTACGTTGTTGTAGATTTCTCCAAAAAGACACATGGATGTACACTTTACAACTTGTGAAAATGCTGTAAGTAGGAGAGCAAAAGCTTGACAAAGAGACTGTGCGCGCAGCCTTTGCGGAGACTCTCCAACATCATGTGACATCATGAAAACTCTCCACTGAGGACTGCGCTCAGTTCCACTTTAATTGTGATGTACAAAACAAATGTGTGTGAATTCAGGCGTACACACTGTTTGATACATCTGGKTTTTTTTGTGCGTACGCCGTTTTTTGGATTTGACGTACGTCACGTTTCAGTAAGAAATCCACGCAAGTCTTTGTACGAGGCCCCAGAAAAAAACAGAAATTATCAAAAGTGTGGGAACATTTTAAACTAAACCAAAAAGACAACAAAGCTCAGTGCACGTGCTGCACATCCAAGATGTTTTAGTACTAAACAGAAAAGTCCTGACATCTCCTCCTGCACTTTGCTCCTGAACTACCAGAGACTTTGGTCTGTAAAACATACCTTTATATTAAATATGTGTTCAGAATGTTGTTATCGAACAGATCTGTCCAACTTTGTGTGAGTGACTAAACTCTCTCCTCCTGATGAGAGACTGCTGTGACGGGAGCAGGTCACAGCGCGCAGGCTGAGTCTTTCTGTGAGATTCACTGAGCTTTTCTAATTAAACCACATTAACTAATAGAACGTTTGTTTGCCCCATATTAAAACAAAGAGGATTCTCTGTTTAACAGCCCAGTCAAAAAATTATATATATTTTAAAAATAAAAACAGCAAAAATAAAAACAATTTATCATAAAGATCCACAAATTTCATTCACAATTTTATCAAAAAACGAGGTTCTTGATGTGTTAAACTTGTTTATATTTAGGATCACACAGC